GTTGAATCCCATCCTATTCTCATCTGCCCACGCTTGTAACCTGTCCAGGTCCGATTGTTGCCTGTTGCTTCCTTACTTAACCATACTTAACAAGCAGTCATCAGTGGCTCAATTTCTAGTCGGCAGGTGGTATCAAGTGTGGTTTCCCAGGGATCTGGCCTGGAATTCTTTAACATCTTCATTAATGATCTGGACAACTGGATTGAGCGCACAGTTAAATTTGTGGATGACACCAATTGTAGGGTGGAGTTGTTGACATTCTGGAGGGCAGGCCTAAGATCCAAAATAACCTGGATACACTGGAGAAATGGACCAAAAATCAATTCAGAAGAACTCCAACAAGGACAAGTGCAAAGTCCTACACTTGAGACAGCATAACTGTATGCTCAAATACAGATTGGGGAATGTTTCACTGTAATGGAACCAGACTTATTCCATTTCAGTGGAACATAAGCAGAACATGAACCAACATTGCAAAAAAGCAAATATCTTACTGAGTTGTATTAACAGAAGTATCTTTTGAAAAAAAGGGAAGCGATTCTTCAGCTGTACTTAGCACTGATGAGGAATTCACTTGGAATACTGTGTCCAATTTTGGGACCCACACTTCAAGAATGATGTGAACAGATTGGAAAGAGTCCAGTGTAGAGGGACAAAAACAATTAGAGGCCTGTTAAACACAATTTATGAGGAAAGGCTGAAAGAATTAGTACTATTTAGTTTGGAAAGAGAAGATAACGAGGGATTTGATAACAGGTCTTCAAATACCTACAGGACAATTAAAGAAAGAATGGAGAGAGTCTTTTCTCTGTAGCCACAGAGCTAGTGGCAGCGGCCTCAAACAGTAGCAGAAGAAACTCATGTTGAAGATTCAAAAGGCCTTTCTGACTGAGGCTGGTCAAGCACTGGAAAAAAGTCTCCCTAGAGAAGCTGTGGAATCTCTGTCCCTGAAAATTTTCAAGGGGAGGTTAGACAGATATTTGATTGGGATGGTTTAGTCTGGGATGATCCTGTTTTGAGCAGGGGACTGGATTAGATTATCTGAGCCCTACTTTCCTATGATCCTATGCAGAGATGACCTGAACAGGGTCCAGGACCCGGGGTAAATCAACCTGTGTGGGGTCCCACCCCTAGACACAAGGAAACCAGTGATGGATTCGGCAGTGGGGCGAGGGGGAAAAGGGTGCACCAAGCAGCTGGACGAGAAGCCAGTGGCAGCGCAGAGTCAACGTGGCCACTCCGTCTGACTTTTCAGGGCCCCCCAAAGCACGGGGCCCTGGGGCAGCTGTCCCAGTTCACCTCCCCCACACTTCCCCCGCCCCAGGAACAGCCCTGATCCTATGTGTTTGGACAACTAAGTTGCACTTCTATAGGAAAATCTGGTTAAAAGAATGCTATTTGATGCTTTTAAAAAAGTGAAAGCCAAAAAGACAATCTAGAGACCAGTTCCTCAATTTCAATATTTCAGTTGCAAATTCAATTGGCTATGCAGAAAACTGAAAATAAATCCTCTGTTGCCTGAAGGTTGTGTTGGCATGGAAACATCTCAATTCAGGTACCAAAACTGGGATACTCAATAAGGTCAGGATTGTAAAACCAACTATAAGAAAATTATACTAGAACTATTTTGTTTAAAAGAAAGAACACTTGCAAAGCAGAACTAAGCCAGGCAAAAATTCTGTACTTTGAATGCTTTTGGAGATTGCCATTTTTTAAATATTTATGATGCTCACCTCGACACCTAAGGCAAAAGGTGTAAGACAGGCTTGTGGTTATTCATTCAATACAAAAATGTTTACTTCTATTTTTCCTGTACCTGTACACAGCCAAACAGACTCTTTCCACAGTGCAATAGCAGTCTAGGTGTCATTTAAGAAAAAAAACCTGTCTTTTTGCCTCTGTTTTATTTTCAGCTTCAAGTGGAAACATTAGAATGAACATGCCTTGAATTCAAGTGCAGTAATGCTGTGCAGATGAGGATTTTATTTTCTCTAGCAGCTGAAAAATAGGACTTTCCTTAGCTTTACTGGCAGGGAATAAAATTAACATGGAGATGAAAGTTGTTTTAAAAATATCTAAGAGAGTACATACACGAAACATTCCAGACCTCTAATGGAAGAAAAAAATGGATGCATTATGGTCTCCATACTCTATTAGAAAAGTTTCATCCAGCAGTACAAAAACATTCTTCAGGCTCCTGTGAGGAAGAAAGTGCTGGAATAGCTACAGCCTTATAAAACTTTTCCATCTCTGTTGCTATTATGGTGTTATATTGTAATGTGGAGAACTCAAAATTACTGCTTCATTAATAGCCTGAATCTCAGTCTTACGTTACATTCTCAGAGTGGGACTAGGCTAGGCAGAGTGCAAGCGTTAATGACAAGATGATTGCAGGAGTATTATGAAAATTTCTATTTCAAGAACTATTTTGTCTCAGTAGATATTTATATACTACATTTTTAATGAAGTATGTGATGCAAAAAAAATGAAACTGTGTATAGTAATTCTTAGGGAGTTTGTTTCTCAGAATTGAAAAAAAAACAACAAAACCCCATCCAGATTTAATTAGACCTGTATTGACGTGTGGGGGAAAATAAAGAAGAGAATGGTTTGTTTGTGGTTTTGATGAGATAAAGTAGTCCTTGCAGCTCTACTTGTTTAACTTTCAGTCCACTTCAGTGAAAATCAAGACAAAAGAATACATTTTAAATGGCAATGGGGAACATGTGTTTGAGAATTTAGCTACTCACATTTGCTGGAAGATGGCTCTGCCGGGGCTTCTGAATCACAATATGGACCTGAAGAAGAGTAAAGAACTCCCCTACTGTGATAACCCCATCCTGAAATTTCTGCAATGTGAATACAGTATACATAACAATAATTAAAATATGATCATTAACACCAGTGCATGCAAAAAGTTCATTTAAAGGGGACAGAGCCAATACATTTCATCTTAGGAAAAAGAAATTAAAGTCTCTCAGCTGCTTACTTACCTCCAATAAATTCTGTTCACAAATACTATCCGTGAGAAGCTGAGACTCCATCTGACTGTTTGGCTGCACTAGAGAGAAAGATGGAGATTGCTTTATTTAAAAAAACCAAAAAACAAAAAACTTAAGAGAAGGCAAATAATGGGTCATTTAGCCTAGCACCTCAGCATGGCCTATCCACACTGATTTCTCCCCTGCATCCTCTCTTCCCTTATAGCTTCCAGCATTTAGAGACCTAGAAAGTCCTAATTTAGAGGCCACACCTCTAACTGCCATGTTTAATACTGGCTGATGGATTGGCCTAACCTCCACTAAGTTGTCCAAACCTTTTATGAATCTGGTTAAATTATATGTCACTACATCATCTTGGGTCAATAAGATCTACAAATTAATTATATGCTGCATGGGAATGTATTTTCTTTAGTTTGTTTTAAGGCTGCTTCTTAATACTTTCATTGCACGTTCCCCAATTCAGGTACTGTGACAGATGGTAAATAGTAAATCTTCTATGTACTTTCTCCATGCCAAATCATGATTTTATAGACCTCCAGTGTCATTCCTCAGTCTTTTTTTCTTTAAGATAAGAAGTCTTAACTTCGTAGTCTCTCCACGGCCCTGGTCATCCTAGTTGCCTTTCTCTGTATCTTTTCTACCTCTTTTAAAAGTGGTGGTGATGGAAAGGAAAGGGGGGTGGAAAGAGAGAGAAGTAGTCTAGGAATTGCAAACAGCATTCAGGGCATGAGACACATGACTTTAGGTCCACACTAATTCACTAGCAACTTTAATGCAGAGTTTGATCTTCATTAGAACAACAATCTAAGATTTCATACTTAACTCTGAGCCAAAGACTATTTTGGGAAAGTTAGAGGGTAACTGAATAGTTCCTTAATAATTAATTCAATTATGTTTGTAAAGTTGATGTCTGTCTAGCATATACTGCTATTTAGACTATGCATTACAGGGGTGAGAAATGACAAATGATCAGAATTAATTTGTTCTGAATCTTAATTACAACTTTCTAACAAGATGTCAATACTGAAGAGCCAATTTTCACTATACAGTATTCTATTACTCTCAGTTGTGCCATCTCAATTTAGCTATGGCAGCCAAGCCTATTAAAAATAAAGAGGAACAGATGAATAATAAAAACAACTTAGGCTGTACAGATGACATTAAGAAGAGAACTTGGATTCCCTAAATTACAAGATGGTGTTCTGCAGAATTGTGGAAAGAAATGGCTCTATTTGATGAAGAACAACCACCCCATCTAGGGACACTGGCTTGCCAATTTAAGAAAAGAGGACTTTATATTGGATCTCTAGGGGGCTGGTAGCAAAAGTCCACAGGTAATTTTTTGTTTGTTTTAAAGTAACCTAAGCATAGGACTGGAATATGGAGAAAATGGAAAACTGCAATTTCAGAGATAAGAGTAAGAATCATAGAAATTAAGGGCTGAAAGGGACCTTGAAAGATCATTGAGTCCAACCCCCTTGCTCTGGGCAGGAATGCTGCTGAGATCAAATGATCCCAACAAGGTGTCTGTCTAGTTTCCTCTTGAAGACTTCCAAGGTTGGGGATTGTACCACCTCCTTGGGAAGTCTATTCCAGATTCTGGTAACCCTTACTGTAAAGTTTTTCATAGATTCATAGATTAAGGGTCGGAAGGGACCTAGTAGATCTTCTAGCCCGACCCCCCGCCAGGGCGGGAGAACAACAAAAAACCCCAAAAAGAGAAACGGGACTCAAATGAGTCCAGCCAGGTAGGCATCCAGCCTCTTCTTAAAGACCCCCAGGGTAGGGGCCAGCACCACTTCCATTGGAAGTTGGTTCCAGCTCCTAGCCGCCCTAAC